CCGCTTCATTTTACTGAATTTGGGAAGGAAAGAGGCCTCGGGGATTGTGACGGACCTGCCCTAACAGAGGTCGCCTTGATGACCTAATAAATCAGAATGGCGGTAAGATGAGAGCCTCCAGGGACCCCAGGCCCCCTCCTCCGGGCAGCTGAGATTGTCTGGAGCCCACGGGGCACCATGGGCGTCTCGCAGTCCTCCGAGGAGGAGTGGAAGCGTGAGAGCAGGACTGACTTCTGGTGGGGGCAGATGCAGGAGGGGTTCCGGAACCAGAGCGACTTCAACTGGGACCAGATCAAGCAGCTGCACCAGAGGTTCCGGCTGCTGAGCGGAGACCAGCCCACCATCCGGCCTGAGAACTTCGACAACGTCCTGGACCTGGAGTTCAACCCGATCCGCTCCAGGATCGTCCGCGCCTTCTTCGACAACCGGAACCTGGGCAAGGGGACCAGCGGCCTGGCCGAGGAGATTAGCTTCGAGGACTTCCTGACCATCATCGCCTACTTCAAGCCGCTGCGCTCAAGTCACTTGAGCAAGGACGAGGCGGAGACGCACCGCCGGGAGAAGATGCGCTTCCTCTTCCACTTGTACGACGAGGACTGTGACGGGCTCATCACCCTGCAGGAGTACCGCAGGGTGGTGGAGGACCTGCTGTCGGCGAACCCGCAGGTGGAGAGCACCTGGGTGCGCTCCATCGCCAACTCCATCGCGTACCGCGCCTTGAAGGAGGCAGCCAGGGCATCCGACCAGCCGCTGGAGGAGGGCGAGCAGTACCAGGGCATCACCTTCGAGGACTTCGTCAAGACCTGGCAGGGCATCGACTTCGAGGTCAAGATGCAAGTCAGCTTCCTGAACCTAGAAGCCATGGCCTTATGCCAGTGACCTGCCGGCCGCTCCCGCCCCGCTCCCCTACCCTCCACCATCACCGGAGATTCTGCACCTTGAGCCTGGCAGCCTCTTGCAGCAGCTACGGGGGGGGGGGGGGGGGTATGTGGGACCTGGCGGCTTTTATCTCTGAGAATAAAGATGATCAAAAGAAGAGCGGGGCGTGGTTGCGATTGCCTTTGATCCCAGCACTTGGGAGGCAATGGCAGGCAGGTCTCTTGTGAGTTTGAGGCCAGCCTGGTCTACAGAGTGAGTTTCAGGACAGCCAGGGCTACACATAACCATGTCTCAAATAAACAAAACAAGGGCTGGAGAGATGGCTCAGTGGTTAAGAGCATTGGATGCTCTTTCAGAAGTTCTGAGTTCAATTTCCAGCACCCACATGGTGGCTCACAACCATCTATAATGAGATCTAGTGCCCTCTTCTGGCCTGCAGAATACTATATACATAATAAATAAATAATCTTAAAAAAATCCAACCAAAAAACAACAACAAAACATAATGAAAAATAACAACAGAAAAGACACAAGAGTTAAACACCAATATTGGTGGTGCCCCCTCCCCACCCCCTGTTGGGTCTGGGGTCATGCAATAATGGGGGACAGACCACCAAAGTCTATTAAATCAGAAGCAAACTTTGTTCCAGGATAAAAAGGACAATAAAATATCACCGCGGGGCACAAAAGCTTATCAGCGAGCTGAGACCACAGCCAGAGTTGTATTTTTGAGGCTGTGGCAATGGAAGCAGGTTCCGGCCCCCTTTTTATAGTGAAGGGGAAAGCATCAGGGATGCAGTGCATGCTAGGAGTCACGTAGAAACATCTATTAAAAGTTAACTTTGGTCCAGGCAGTTGTTGGCTATAAGGGGTAAGGGGGGTTAAAAGTTAACCCCTGGCTGTTGACAGAGGAGCTGCTGTAAAGCAGAGGGCCATTGTTAGAAGTTAACCTTTAGAGCTGGTGACTGTCAGCTTTTATTTTTTTATTTATTTAGGTTTACAATTTTATATTTCTATATCCCTGGACCCTACACCCCCAACTTTTTTTGAAACAAGGTCTCACTCTGTAGCCCATGCTGGCCTGGAACTCAATATGTAGATTAGGCTAGCCTCAAACTCACAGTCCTCCTCCTCTGCCTCCCTCAACTGTTGGAATTTGACCCAAAAAACTAAGCTCTTCTCTCAAAGGGAACTGAGAGAGAGTTTATTCTGATGTCAAAGATGAGTGACATGGCTCAGGGACATAGATTCAGTTTATGCTAGACACCACTGTGGGAGGCCAGCTCTCACCTTTTCCCAGACCTTTCCAAACACCTGATGACCACGCCTTGGTCAAATCATCCATTATGCAGCCCTGCTGGGTAAGGCAAACTCAGCTTCTCTGACCATGAGTAATTTGGGCTTCCACAAATTCTTTATATAAAATCAAATGGGGGTACAGATCTTAACTCTGTGTAGCTCTGAATCAGCTTTTCCACTAAGAGCATGCAAGTAGCTGGAATTACCACAGCACTACTCCTGCTTCCTTTGGCTACTATGCCTTCTAGTAAAAGGAGTAGAGTATGATAAAGATGGAATGTCCTTTTTAAATGGGTCTTAGATGTCTATAGCAGCCTCAGGTGCACTACGCCCTTGTTTAAATAAATAAACTCCTGATACAACTGTGTCAAATAAATCAGTAAAATCCTGAAACTGCATCAAACCTAAAGATCCCCTTAGCTTCACCAAACCATGGTTCATCAATATTAACAGGTTAACGTAATTCTAGCATGAATATTACTATACATATTTACAATTCTTACAAACTTACATCCAAAGCAAACTCTCAATGGGACTATTTACACTTTACAAACTTTAGCAAACATCCAGAAGCAATTTCTTAATATAACTTTTTGCATTTCTTGCTAACAAAACATAGGATATATTAACACACGTTAACATTAATCCACTCGTGACAAGAAAAAATTTTTTTAATTAAAGAGACTGAGGAATATTATCTCCCCTTTTTCTTTATTAATTTTTAAAACTTCATCTTGGGCCTGGGTAGAAAAAAAAAAACAAATTTCTCTATACCTACACCAAACAGTTCCATTTTTACACAGTTCTTGAGTCACCACAGTTAATAAAGCATATATGCATATACAAAACAATTCATAAGTCACAGTTGGTAGAGTCTATATGCATAGGTAAAGTCAAAATTGTCCCATTGCAATTGAACCACTCCTGGCCATCACATTTCATAAGTCTGAAAACTTCAAAAAGTCAGTTCTGGTACCAGTCTTAACATTTCAGTGAAAGCTTTCTGATACCAGCCTTACAGTCCATTGAAAGCTTTCTGATACCAGTCTTAAAGTTCAAAATATAAAGAAACCCACAACCAAAAACTTTTTGCAATTCCCCTGAATGTAACAATTCAGTTCAAACAGTCTCTGAAACTTTTGTTCTTAGCTCTCAGCTGTGCTTTGCAATCATCTGTAGCCTTCCCTTAAGGCAATTTTGCTCCAGGGCAAAAGCTATTAACTCCACATTTAGCTCCACAATAGCTGGCTGGTGCAGAATCCTCTTCGAAAGAGACCTTCTTACAGCCAGCAAACAGAAACTGCACCTTTAGCTGCTGGGTTTCACAGCTTTTACAGTCCAGGTCTATCTGTGCCTCCTGTAACCAGCCAGGACCCCTGTGTCCTGAGTCCCTGATTGCAGCGCTCAGGGCAGCTCCACCTTCCTCTGCTGCTGGGACCTCAGACTGGCCTGAGTTTCAGCGCATCTCAACCATTCAGACTGGAGCACTGCTGTTGCATACTGCTGCTAGGGACTCAGACTCGATACATTTCCTTGCAGGGAAGATTTCAAAACCTGCCCTGCTCTCTCCACACCAGGGTTCATCCCACCCCGGCGTCCTGTCAGCAAACAGTTTTCTCCCCGGTTCCTGCACCGCCGCTGCCATGGTTCCGCCCCTAGGATGCTGCCTGGCCTCTGCAGGGCTTCCCCAGGTCACTGCTGCTTAAGGGCCTACCTCTGCGTCCCCAACACACACACAGACTCAAAGGCACCTGTTCTTTGGCCCCCCTTGTGTTTGCCCTGCAGGCGTCTTTCTCTGGAGGCTTTGTCTCTCACACTCTCCAGCTACCCGCTGGGCTCTCTGACTCTCAGGCGGTGTCTCTGCTGGGCACTCGCCACCAGGGACTCTGGCTTCACTCCAAGCTGCTACCATTGCTGCCTGCCATTCACTTCTCTCATAGGATGGCATCTCTGCTTGGCTCCTCACCGCCGCTTCTTGGCAGAAGCTTGCAGACTCTCGCTGCTCATGCTGTCTCTTGGGGTCAGCTGCCTGGGAAGCTATGACAGCCCATGGGTCTCGGGCCGCTGATACCTGGATGGGGGCAGCCGCCCAAACTCTGCTGCTGCTGCTGCCGCTGCTTTCTGAAGCTTCTGAAGCCGCTGGGACTGCTAATCTCGCAGTGGCTGCTAGGTCCTGGACGCTGCTTTGTGTGTCCAAGGTCCCGTCTGGGCTGGGGGGTGGGGTGGGTAGGACCTACTCTACCCTACGTTATCTTATATTAAATCTTCACCATATTCCTAGACCTAGAGCTTATTCTACCCTAATACACCTAAGCCTACACTTCTCAAACTAAACTTCACCAAACTTTTTTACAACTTTAGAGAGAGAGACAGAGAAACAGGACAGAGACAGAGAAATACTTGCTGCAGCTTAACTTTTTTTATTTGCTTCGGCTTAACTTTTAGCCACTCTGCTTTATCTATGTACAATTGTTGCTCCCAAAGAATAAAATGCCACCGCCTAATAAGGTGATATTTTATTTGTGCTGAAATGTGATTTTATTTGTATGTTAATAGAGTTGCCTGGGGATCAGAGCTAAGAGCAAACCATTAAGCAGAAGTCTGGTAGTGGTGGCACACACCCTTAATCTGATCACTTGTTAGGCAGAGTCTCTGTGTGTTCAAGGACACAGCCAAGCGGTGACCGGAACCTTTAATCTCAGTACCAACCATAGAGACCCGGAGGTCTGTATAGACAGGCAGTGACGAGGAGGTCATGTGGTTGTATTTAGAGTCAATGAGAAGGCAGAACAGAAGGCAATAAAAAGACAGGACACAGGAAGAAGGTCTCTCTCAGGGGAAGGACAGCAGCAAGTGGTAAGATAAGGTGGTCTCAGCTCTTGGCTACTGCTCGATCTCTGGGCTTTTAACTCTTCATTTGGCTCTGTGTTTCTTATTTAGTAAGACCGTTTAGAATGACATCGACAGCCTAACCTTTTCATAATTCATAACCAGGCATGCCCAACTGCTTCCACTGCTCCCAACTCTCCCTTATCTCCTCTGCATCCGCGTCCCAAGTTCTCGCGCCATCTGTGGGAGCCAGCTCCCGCCTTTACCCAGGGTTCCTAGGAGGAAGAGAGAGGGATAAGAAAATATTAGATAAAAAGATAGCGAAGAAGAGAAAGACAGAAACACAGGATAGCTTTGGGAGGACCTGGGTCAATACCCAGTGGCCTATTCTGTTTATTCAAAAGGGCATTTTATAACTTTGCCAAGGGGCGGGGCAAAAGACCTCCCCCTTGCTAGATCAAAGCACACCACACAGCCAAGTGTAGACCCTTCCAAACACCTGGTAACCATGCCTGTGGTCAAAGCATTCCCCTATGCAGCCCTGCTGGGTAAAGCAAGCTCAGAGTCTCTGACCCTGAGTAATTTGGGCCTTCACACACCATGACCAGAATAACAGTTTCATGGAATTATTAAAGTAACAGAATTTTTTAAAAAATCATAAATCAGGACACTTCAAATGGTGGAAATATGAGAGGGAAGGGTGTCAGCAAACCTGGAAAATCTCTGCCGCAGGCCTCAGAGGCTCTCGTGGGACGTTAAGTTGCCCACCTTTAGGTTGGTGGAAGTTAGCTGTCTGTTTGTACATTCCTATGACACTCACCAAACAGTTAGGAGGATGTTAAGTCACACACAGAGGTAAGCAATAAATGGCTGTTTAGAAGGCTAAGACTGCTCATGAAAACTGGGCTCCCGCTTTCTTATTCCTCTTGCAACATTCCAACTCCTGCTATCATTAAAGTTTTAATTACCCTTGAATGCCTAACTGAGGTGGTGTGGCTTTTCGTGGGAAGCTCAGCTCACACAGGCATGCACCCCCATGCCCAGCTCGGCTTTGCGGAGCAGGGCGGAGCCTTGCTATCAGGAGTGGGTTCAGTAAGTCGTCTAGTCATTGGAAAGCGCGTGGGAATCAATCTCTACTTTCACTCTGTCTTCTGTTCTTACTGTTACCACCGGATTTTTTCCTTGTGAAGGAAATTATTCCCGCCCCCTTTATTTCAGATTTGGAGTCAAGATATGAGGCAAATGGTGTAGTTTCCAAAAGGAACAATTTTGAACTAAATTCAAAGGGGGAAAAGAAAACCTTTGGCTGTGAGACATCCACTTCAGAAATAACAGGAAGATCAAAGGCAAATTCAGAAGATGAAGGCGTTTACCCCACAGAAAAGAATCCTTACTGGGGAGACGTCCTCTGTGTCTACGGAGTGAAGGAAGACTTGTAAGGCTGTGGCACAAACATTTGCAACCTGGAGGACTCATGGCTAAATCATGCTTGAAGTAAGGACCGTGAGAAGTCCTTACAACTGTTCCTGAGACTTCGTACTGGTGAGAAGCCTTAGGAATGTCGACTGAGGAAAGGCCTTTGGTCGGATCTGTCAGCTTACTATCAGAGAATTCATAGTGATTCAAAAAAATCTTAGAAATGGAAGGAATGTGGGAAGGCATTTTGGGGGCCTCAAACCTTGCTAAATAAACATGAAATAATCCACACAGGTGAGAGACCTCACCAATGTAAAGAATGTGGAGAGGTTTCCAATACGGCGGTCCACTGACACAGCACTGGAAAAACACATGCTGATGAGAACACTAATGGATGTAAAACTATGTGGAAAGGTTTCTTTTTTTTTTTCTTTTTTTTTTTTTTTTTGGTTTTTTGGTTTTTACGAGATAGGGTTTCTCTGTGTAGCTTTGCGCCTTTCCTGGAACTCACTCGGTAGTCCAGGCTGGCCTCGAACTCACAATGATCCACCTGGCTCTGCCTCCCGAGTGCTGGGATTAAAGGCATGCGCCACCACGGCCCGGCATGGAAAGGCTTCTTGATGAAGTCATCAACCCGCCTGACATCATACAGTTCACACTGGCAAGAAAACCTATGAATGAATATAAGAAATTCTCAGAGGCCTTGATTGCAGGTCAAGTTTGTGCAATATGAAAAAATCCATACTGGTAAGAAACATTATGAATGTGAGGAATGGAGAAAGCCTTTAGCTATGGTTCAAGACATGTTGACCAACAGAAAGTCCATATTAGTGAGAAACTCTATGAATACAAAGACCCAGGTTAGGGATTTAGCTCAGTGGTAGAGCACTTGCCTATTCTTATTCTTAATTATGAATTCCCGGCCTTAGCTTGGCTTGTTTCTTGACAGCTTTTCTTTATTTAAATTAACCCATCTGTCTTTTGCCTCTGGACATTTACCTTCCTCTATTTCTGTAACCTTTCTTTCTTACTCTGTTTCAGGTAGTGTAGCTGGGTGACTGGACCCTGATGTCTTCCTCCTTCTCTCCCTCCTAGATCTCTCCTTTCCCAGATTTCTCCGTCTATTCATTCTCTCTGCCTGCCACCCCTGCCTATCATTTCTCCAGCCTCACTGTGGGCCACCGAGCTCCTTATGAGAACATCAGGTGTTTTAGACCCGAAAAGTAACACAGCTTCACGGAGCTAAACATAATGCAACATAAACAAAAGTAACACAACTTAAAATAATATTTCCCAACATTAGAGCCACCTTCCTTGGGATTCCAGTGTATACTGACTGACCAGCTGGGACATCCTGAACAACTACCGGATTCTTGGACTTCCCATTGGTAGACAGCCATTATTGGACTAACCTGACCACAGCCTGTAAGCCATTCTAATAAAAGAGGGAGAGAAGCTAGACCATAGGAGGAACAGTTTCGGAGGGGCAGAGGAGCCTCTTCAGAGAACCTGTATAAGCCAACCTCCCCCAAGGAGTCTTTATAAACCAAATCTCCAGAACAAAGGAAATACCTGACTTCTAAAACTTTTCAGGGGTGACAGGAGGTTTACATTTAGTGCAGCAAAGCGTATGTGATGAAGAGCATGGAGGAGCCAGGCACCATACACAGAGAGCAGTCAAGTCACGGTCTGCTTCTTGGGCAAGGGTAAATGCAGGCTTGTGTATCTTTTCACTCAGTCCAGCTCAAACATCTCATTTATTGTTATCATTAATTTGTTTCTTAGTTTACATCAAGCATGTCTTTAAAAAGATGGATTTCTCTTTACCTGTTTGTTTCCGTGCGTATGCAGTGCCCACTGAGGCCAGAAGAGGGCGGCAGATCTCCTAGCACTAGAGTTGAAGGCATTTGTGAGATGCCACCTTGGGTAGTGGGAAACAAATTCCAAAGGTGCAAGAGCTTTTACCCGCTGAGCCGTCTCTCAGGCTCCAAATTACTTTATACTTCTTTTCTTCTCTTTTCTCAATATCTTGATTCTTAGAGTTTTGTTGCTGTGAAGAGATACCATAACCACGGCAACTTTCATAAAGGAAAATATTTCCTTGGGGCTGGCTTACAGTTCAGAGGTTACTCCATAATCTTTATGGCAGGAAGCACAGTGGTATGCAGGCAGATATGGTGCTGGAGAAGGAGCTGAGAGTTTTACATCTGGATTTGCAGACAGCAGGAAGAGCAATGTGAGCCACATTGGGCCTAGCTTGAACATTTGAGAGCTCAAAGCCTACCCACAGTGACACACTTCCTCCAACAAGGTCATACCTACTCCAACAAGACACCTCCTAATAGTGCCACTCTCTAAGAGCCTATGGGGGCCATTTTTGTTTAAAGCACCACACCTTGTGTATTAGGGTTCTCTAGAGGAACAGAATGTATAGAATGAATCTATATGTATATAGAAAGAGGATTTACTAGAATGGCTTACAGGCTGTGATCCAGCCAGTTCAACAATGGCTGTCTACCAATGTAAAGTCCAAGAATCCATTCAGTCCACAAGGCTGGAAGTCTCAGCAGGTCCTTAGTATACACCAGAATCCCAAGGAAGTCGGTTCTAATTCAGTGAAGGAATGGACTTGCTAATGAAAGCTAGAGCAAGCAGGCAAAGAGAGCAAGCTTCCTTCTCCCGTGTGTTTTATACAGGTTGCCAAGAGAAGGTGTGGTCCAGATTAAAGGTGGATCTTCTCACCTCAAAAGATCTGGATTAGAAGTGGGTCTTCCACTTTAAATGACTTAATTAAGAAAAAAAAGTCCCTGTGCTGGAGAGGTGGCCCAGCAGTTAAGAGCACTGGCTGCTCTTTGAAAGGACCCAGGTTCAATTTCCAGCACCCACATGTCAGCTCACAACCGTCTGTTATTCCAGTTCCAGGGGATCTGGCATCTTCACACAGACATACATGCAGGCAAAACCCCAATGTACATAAGAAATAAATAAATCTTTAAAAATAGAAAATAAATCGCTCAGAGGTATACCTAGTTACTTGGGTTTTCATTACTTCCAGATGTAGCCAAGTTGTAAACCAAGAATAGCCATCACTGTGTAAATCGGTGTGTTAAACAGAAAGAGAGAGAGAGAGAGAGAGAGAGAGAGAGAGAGAGAGAGAGAGAGAGAGAAATTGATTCAGACACAACCATATAAATTTTTTCTTGTGTTTTTGAGGCATGCTCCCCTTTTGGTGGTTTGAATGACAGTGGCCCCCATAGGCTCATATATTTGAATGGTTGGTCACCAAGGAGTGGAACTCTTTGAGAATCAGAAGGATTGGAAGGTGTGGCCTTGTTGGGGGAAGAGTGTCAGTGAGGGTGGGTTTTGAAGTTTTAAAAGCCCATGTTGGGCCCAGTATTTCTCTCTGCCTGTTGCCTGTGGATCAGGTGTAAAGCTCTTAGCTACTGCTCCAGAACTGTGCCTGTCTGCACGAAGATCATAGACTAATCCCTCTAACACAGTAAGCAAGCCTCTGCTTCAGCGCTTTCTTTCGTAACGGTTACCTTGGTCGTGGTGTCTCTTCACAGCAACAGAACAGTAACTAAGACAGTAACCCACGCAGGACTCTTGCCTCGTCCTCCGGAGTACTGAAATGACAGATGCGCCCACAAAGCCCAGTGTTCACCTGTTTAGTGAAAGGAAAATCTTAGGCTGGTGGGGAAAGAGCCTTACAGAGAATGCTGGGACATGTAGTCCAGACGCTTTCTGTGCGCAGAGCACTCTACGGGAACGCTTGACTTTGGCAATGTTCTATGGGAGAAAGTCAAGTATAATCCGCATGTTTGGTGAGATTTCGGCTGCTTGAGGGCTAGAAAGCAAAGCCAATTCATCTGAGGACGCTGGGACTCAGGCACAGGGAGCCTGCACACTGTCCCGGGCTTCTGCCCCAAGGGATCCTGGGAGTTGTAGTTCCGGAGCTTGGCGTTGCCGGGGCATTTCCCCTGCAGAGGTTGCAGATCTTGTGAGTGCATTCCAATAAGGAAGGTGAGTGGGTCGTGCTTGACTTGAGGACCCCATTACCTCTTTGGACTTGCACAACCCGGTAAAAGGATGGGCGAGGACCTTTTCCGGGTCACCGAAATGAGACATTGTTGCTGATGTTGCGGGACACCAAGCCGCTGACTTCTGATTCGGGGGAAAGTTTAGCAGTACTCGGGGTTCAGCCCCAAGGAAGAGCTGGACTTGGCAGCTTTTGGGGGAACTCCTCAGCTCCGGGATGTCTAGCTCACCCTCCCTCACCTTTCTCACACCCTGTCACTGAGTAAGAATCTTTCTGTGCCTTAGTTTCCCCTTGTGCAAAAGGGGATGTTAGGAGGATCTATAATACACATTTGGTTTTAGGATCAATTTTAGAGTATAAAAAATGCACGCGTGCACACAAACACACACATGTATTTAAGGTACTGTTGACATATGTGTGTTGTATGTGGTATTTTGGTATCTCTGGGGCCACACATACTGTGAGTTTGTATAGTTCTTGGTACGGGCAGTGTTCACGTGACCACGGATGTCTGTCACCCTGTATGTGGGTGCATCTTCTTGGGTCAGAGAATGTTGTGGCAATTTTCATTTATGTATTTATTTATTAGAGATAGGCTCTCAATCTGTAGCCTGGATGGTCTAGAACCCACTAGGCTCTTCCTTCAGTCGACACCTCAGAACTGGAATTAGGGTGTGTGCCACCACACCATAAATGGGTGCTTTATCCCACCATTCCGTCTGTTTAGGGACTTTTTAATTGTCAAAGACTTTTATTTTTTTAATTATAAGTATGTGCATACCCACACCCACCCCTGCACAGACAAACACACACACACACACACACACACACACACACACACACACACACCTGTTAGTGTTTACCAGGGGTCCATGGAGGCCACAGGTTTTGGAGACTCCACCGCTGGAGTTACAGGTGACTGTGAGCCACCCAGTGTGGGTGCTGGGAACCAAACTCACCCTCTGCAAGAGCAACATGTGCTCTTAAGTGCTGAACCATTTTCCCACCCCCCCCCAACCGGTTTGGTTTTTCATTTTTAGCTTTCTGTGTGGGAGTGTGTTACTTGCAGGTATGTCTGGCACCGTGCTCAGAGGAAGGCATAGGATCCCCTGAAACTGGAGTTAGGGATGA